AAGGGGAAAAAAAAAAAAAAAAAAAAAGGCACACGAAGCCCATCATCATATCATACACATCGCCATGGGTTTTGCCGATGACAAGAACTCCACAAGTCACGCTCAACCAATCACAAAAGCACAGGCCAGCCCATGATGAGAGAGATACACGTTCTGCATTCTACCAATGCTTTCGCTCCACTGCTTCTGAAACAACTCTCTAAGAGCCGCAGTATCTACCAGATTTCCTCCAGTGGTAGGTGCAGGATGACGAGCGGGAGGGCCTCCAAGGCGTCCGTGCTGAAGGGCATTTCAGAAATATGCATGCCCCCTCAGGAGGGCATATGGCGGAGACACCAGGGGGAATGGGACCGACGGTCCAGTAAGGGCGTCCCGGAAAGTTGCACCCCTCACTAACAGGGGCCTGCAGGAAAGTCCAGACGCACAGGGGCACGACCGGATAAGTCTGCCGTCGGAGGGGCACGGCACAAACAAATCAAAATTTCAGGGGCATATCGATTTTTTTTTCAAAAAGGAAAGGAGCTCCGCTGCTTAGCAGCTCAATCATAACCCCACTAATAGAAGAGGAACGAACAGAGAGCATAAAGAACTGGATGGCGATGGAGATGACGATGTGAACGGGAGTAAAGGAATGCCATAGGAATACACAAAGAACGAGCTATGGTCGAATAGTACGCAGGGTACTGTGATGGGCGAAAGGTAGTAGAAAGGGTAGAGGAAAGGTGGCCGGATGTGGAAGTGGCAGAAGGTGATAGGCAGGGTAGAGGAGGGGGAAGACAAGGTGGCCGGTAGCGGGGAGCGGAAGGGGCAGAAGGTGGTAGGCAGGAAAGTGGAAGGGGCAGAAGATGGTAGGCAAGGTAGCAGGAGGGGTAGAAGGTGGGAGACAGGACAGCTAAAATGGCAGAAGGTGTTAAGCAAGGTAGCGAGAGGGGCAGAAAGCGGTACATGGGGTAGCGGAAGAAGGGGCAGAAGGTGGTAGGCAGGAAAGTGGAAGGGGCAGAAGATGGTAGGCAAGGTAGCAGGAGGGGTAGAAGGTGGNACATGGGGTAGCGGAAGAAGGGGCAGAAGGTGGTAGGCAGGAAAGTGGAAGGGGCAGAAGATGGTAGGCAAGGTAGCAGGAGGGGTAGAAGGTGGAAGACAGGACAGCTAAAATGGCAGAAGGTTTTAAGCAGGGTAGCGAGAGGAGCAGAAAGTGGTACGTGGGGTAGGGGAAGAAGGGGCAGAAGGTGGTAGGCAGGAAAGTAGAAGGGGCAGAAGATGGTAGGCAAGGTAGCAGCAGGGGTAGAAGGTGGAAGACAGGACAGCTAAACGGACAGAAGGTGTTAAGCAGGGCAGCGAGAGGGGCAGAAAGTGGTACGTGGGGTAGCTAAAGAAAGGGCAGAAGGTGGTACGCAGGCCAGTGGAATGGGCAGAAGATGGTAGGCAAAGTAGCGGCAGAGGCAGAAAGTTGAAGACACACACCTCAAGCAGGACGTGATGGAGCTTCTGAAGGAACGCTTCATCTTCCAGCATCGACGGCTCTGCCTGCTCCGGAAGCTCGTCTAAGTCCAGCTGCAGTTGAACAAACAAATGGGACAAGTTCGAATAAGACAAGTGGGCAAAGAAGATACAATCGAATGATCCTGTGAATGACAATGTTCTGCACTGCACATACGTATTTTTTGTACACGTTCCGTCGGTGTTACACTCACTCTCCCACGAGGACTCGGACCTCCTATCACCCCCTTCCGAATAAGGGGAAAAGCACCCCCTTCCGAATAAGGGGAAAAGCACCCCTTCCGAATAAGGGGAAAAACACCCCCTTCCGAACAAGCGGAAAAGCACCCCCTTCCGAATAAGGGGAAAAGCAGAATGTAGGGTGACGACGGCCTTAAGAAATGATTCACAGAACTGACCGGCCCTAGGGCATTCAGAATTTTGTAGTATTTCATTCATCTGCTTCCAGTAGAGTTCGAACTCGGGTCTGCATTTCAACAGTTCAGTTCAGGGGTGTACCAACTGAGCTGGGCCAGCTGGTAAGGGCCTCGCTTAGCAGTACACAACATTCTAGAGGTATTCTAGAGGTATCTGGAATGCGAGATGATCCATTCCAACTGGACCCAGCGTTATGAACGTACCTGGACCGTTTCCAGCTTCAAGATACGTTCAGGGCGTTTAGGAGTTGCAGCGAGGGCCGCACAGAGGTGGACATGATTGCCCCAAAAATGTCCCAAAGAACAGAAAAGCCTGGGCAAGTCAAACACGTTGATAATCTACTACTACTACTACTAATAATATATAATAATAATAACATATAATATTATAATAATAATAATAATAATAATAATACGAAATACAATAAACGGCGGCACAAATGGGTTCCGCTGCCGAATGTGTCCGGACCTTCAAGCTTGCTTCGCAGCATTGCCACTCAATTTTCTTTTCCTAAAATGGAAAACTACTGGAGCGCATAGTGGATATCATGGTCGGTATGGTTTCACTTTGGAACACACCGTGTCCTGGCTGTAGTGGTTAAGAGACTTGGCTCTTGAGGCCGAGGTCACCGATTCGAATCCGTGCTCGCACACAGGAGGGCCTTTGGGCCCAGATGTACGGATCTGTAACTACCAAAGTAACTACGCATACAGACGTAAGATTATGTATTTCTTGGAGACGCCGAAATTATATGCTAGAAATGGCCGAGATCTGCCTCGATCCCGATCGCAGATGGGAACCAGCAAATCCCCCCTCAACTCCACGAGACACAGAACGACTGTGAACGAGATCTGCCTTGATCCCGATCGCAGATGGAAAGCAGCACTGCTGTCAATGACATATACGACATAAGAACGTGATTATCACTGTTCTAAAATTTGCTCGTCTTGCTTCCTTCCATAGATATCAAAAGGATTGCTTGCCTTCATATTCATAACTTTCCAAATTCCATTCCACGATGTCAGCCATGCCTATAGCACGGTTGGAGATGAAAGCGGAAATCATTTGAATGCACTCTCTTCTCTCCCACATCACACATTTGATCTGGGTTATAATCTCTTCTTTTTCTTTAAAGAAAGATCATCCCCCCCCGCTACTAGGGGAGGTGATAAGAGCAGCCCCTCCTAGTAGGTGGACTGGCTGCTCCGTCTATTCGTGGGGAGCTGCGATCTGGGTTATAATCCCTACACTTCGTCCGCGCCTTCATTCCGCAATGGCCCCTACCTTGCGTCTGGTATTCTCTCTCTCTCTCTCTCTCTCTCTCTCTCTCTCTCTCTCTCTCTCTCTCTCTCTCTCTCTCTCTCTCTC